TTGAGACCGTACAAAAGCGAGCACTGAAGATCATTTTACCCGCGAACTCATATAGCGAAACTTTAGAATATTTTAATCTTCAAACTTTGTTCCAAAGACGCGAAGAAATGTGTAACAAACTTTTCACAAATATTACTAACAATCCGACACACAAACTGCATAATTTACTGCCTCCCAAACATGAGTCGGTTTACCAACTTAGGAACAATAGACTGTTTGAACGATTCGAAACTAATACAGAAAGATTTAAAAAAAACTTTTATTCCTATGTCTAGTAACTTAAGTTAATGTAATTTTTAGTACTAAGCGTTTTAATGACCATTTGTAAATATGCCTAATTAACCCATATTCTATCTTTTAAATAATGTTTTATATACTCTTGTAAATCACGCAATTCAGCTGTTCAGCTGCAAGGTGAATTTTAAATACACTATCTATCTATCTCAGTAGAGTGAAGTTAGGAAGCACCACGAAGCACATGGAAATGGGTGAGAATAGCGTATGCTGTGGAATTTATTTCATAATGATTTGACATACGTTATGAATTCAAGCATTTGTATGAATGCGGACGATCATCAATTGTTTGAAACACACAAGGATATAAAGATTATTCAAAACAGATTGCAAGAAAGCGCTATCATGGCATCAAATGGTACGAGGTAAATTATTTACGGGGGAATTACACAAAGTATGGTAGCATGTTAATCAACAAGAAAAAAGACCTCAGTATGAACATTGATATTCAAGGCGACACAGTTACTCCCTACAAAAGTATTAAATTACTGGGAGTAAACATTGACTGCCAATTAATTTTTAGGGATCAAATAAGTGAAGTCTGCAAAAAATCTAGCCAGAGAGTAGGACTAATCATGAGATTACGAAACATGATTCCTACAGCAGCGAAACTCCAATTATATAAAGCGGCGATCCTACCATACTTAACATATTGTAGTATGATTTGGCATTATTGGAGGGGAAGTGATACCTGAAAGGTAGAACACGTTCAGGAAAAAGAGCCTTACGGGCAATATATTGTGACTGGAACACTTCTTATAAGCAGTTATTAGAATGGGCTAAGCTACCTACAATCTTTGACAACATAGATTGGGAAAATCTAGTTTTCATATGCATTCGGTTGTAATATATCATTTCCTGATACATATTTTCCACCCTCCCTCCCCCCAGCCGTTTCAATGTTGGCGCCGCGCATCCAGACATCAGATTTTTGTTGGCCCAACATTGAACTGGGGGAACGGGGGGGGGGGGGGTGCTATTCCTTTCAAATTATATGAATTTACAGCAGCTGTCCCATAGTTTCTGGCAAAGATTCGTTTCTATATTGGTCACATTGTCACATATATGCGCTTTGTTATGCTAACAAGATGGCTCAGTTGTCAATTTTCTTTAAATAGAGTCCCAATACTGTTACCATGCATAGAATTCAATGAATTGTGACTAAAATGTGGCACTACAAGCCTTTAAATCTGATTTTAAATATACACGATTTTGCAGCCGGATTTTAACTATTTCCTAACACACACAAAAATTATCCATGTGCAACAAAATTGCTAAAGGACCTAACAGAGGTGAAGAAATTATGAAAATATAACTGCGTACACAGCTTGATGATGTCTACAAGTTGAATTAAGTTAAGTATAAGAGTAATGGTATTACTTCAACAGACAATCTTTGACAATATAGATTGGGACAATCTAGTTTTCACATGCATTCGGTTGTAATATACCATTTTCTGATACATATTTTCCACCCCCCACCTGTTTCAATGTTGGCGCCGCGCATCCAGACATCAGATTTTTGTTGGCCCAACATTGAACTGGGGGAACAGGGGGCGCTATTCCTTTCAAATTATATGAATTTACAGCAGGTGTCCCATAGTTTCTGGCAAAGATTGTACCTTATCAAATAGGAAGACTGCAAGATATTGCGACCATCATGTATAAGGTCAAATGTAAGATCTGCCCAAATTACATGGTAGACATGTTTTCCAGAAACTCAACAGTATATAATTTAAGAGTAAAGGAATTTTGTATCCCTAGATATACAGGCAGTTAGCGGGAATCTAGCCAGTATAAATACTGTCAGATTGGTGAGGCAGGTGCAGTGTATTACTAGACAGATTACCAATCTCGCCAATCTGAGAATCTCACCAGAAACTAGTGCCAGACTGTCGTGTGTCAACACAGCGCGTTCAACATTGGCGACCAACAAGCACTGCGAGTGTGAAGAACAAACATGGTGAGTTTGTGTGTGCGATTGCTGCAATGCCTTGATGGTATTTTGCTTGGCAATATATACAGCTCTTGCCGCTTTTTGTATTTATGGTAAAAGTGGTTCCGTGTGAAGATTTAAAACGAAAATATGAGAGTTTGTACTATACACGAGTATTCGACAATATTTTTTACATTTTGAAAAATCATATATTTTATACGGATTATTGCTGTAACGACGATTTCTAATGATTTATAGTATCGAATTTCAATGGCATGAATTGAAGTGAACATATTTAACGCCAATGTATGTGAAATTTGTCTGTCAAGCAACAGCATAAATATTATAAATAACACGTTAAAAGTCTGAGGTCTTCTAGTTTACTATGTTTATTTTATATGTACAGTACTGACAAACGTTTCAAAGTAAGTCTGTATAGTTTGGTGGAATATATTGAATATGCTTTTCCAAAATGCTTAAAAATCAGTATATTGATACATAATTCTTAAAATATTTAGCCTAGAACTGTGAGCTAATCAACATGTTTTTAATATTTAAGGTATAATAATAATATAGTTTGACTGATAATGCCATGGAAATATATGCTGGATTTGGTGGATAATCCAAGTGAGCACATATGGGAATGGTTGCAAAAATTGCAACACTAGGAACCTATGACCCTGCAATTCTGGTGCACGTCTGCCTAACCAATTGAGCCACAGAGGCCTGTTGCCGAGCTGTAATTGCAAGTTCATGTATATTTTCAGTTGTGCAGGTTTTTTAATTTCAGGGCTTTTTCACAAAGCCGAAAAAATCTATATATATAATTATATACATGAACTTGAAGTTACAGCTCGGCAACTGGTCTCTATAGCTCAGTTGGTTAGACCGCTGATATACAATTGTGTAAATATGTAGCCTATTGCATTGAGATTGTGGGTGTTATCTGAAGTTACTACCAGGGCCGCCGAGAGGTTGGCGGGGGCCCGGGGCAATTTTTTTTTAGTGGCCCCTATTTAGGGGCCCAACAAATTCTGGGGGCCTGGCCTATTATATATATATGTATGTATGTATTGTATGTACTATTATCTATTTAATTATGTATGTAATTGTAATAATTGCATGTAAGTGATGTTTAACTTTTCTAAATTTTTTAATGTAAATTTGAATTTAATGCTACACCCCCCTTGGAAATCAGCTTTTGCTGTAGGGGTTAGCATAGTAAAATAAAGTTTTACCTACCTACCTACCTACCTACACCCACTTCTTGGCGGCCCTGGTTACTACAACTGGGCTATATACACAGCCGAGGGTACAGTACCAGCCTAACCATATCTACTCTTTAATTAATCTGAGTAATACAATGCAATCATGGCTACCAGCCGAGGTTGCCAACTGAGGTTTTTATGCCCACCAGCCAAGCTTGTTTGTAGTATAGTATACTAATATTACATCACGGCTACCAGCCGAGGTTCTTAGGGCTACCAGCTGAGCCTGTTTGTAGCATAGTATTACTATTACATTATGGCTTACCAGCTCAGGTTTTTACTGCTACAGTACCAGCAGCTATAAACATTGGGAAGACAAATATACATACAATGCAGTTTGATGATTTTGACAAAATTTAAATGGTTTCCGATTTTAAAAACATTAATTCTAGAACCAGTGCCAAGCCAAAGCAATTAGTGACAAATTTTCCGGCTGCCAGCCGGCATCCCAAACATGCTAATTGGGTGAAGCTGCAATGAGCCCTAATGATGTGCCCCACTAATTCCCATTACAATTGGTGTGAGGTTGAAACCAGTTTCCATTCCATTAATCTGAATTAGTTAAAATGGTACGAGGTGGGAATTAGATTCCAATCTTACCATATATCTTGTACCATTTTTACTAATTCATATTAATGGCATTAATTCCAATCTCGTGCCAATTATACTAGTTCAGATTGGAATGTAATTCTCAACTTGTGCCATTTATACTCTAATTCAGATTGGAATCTAATTACAATCTCACACTATTTATACTAAAGCATTCAGATTGGAATTTAATTCCAATCTTGGACCCATTTTACTAATTCATTTTGGAACCTAATCCCTGTTTCGCACAATTTATTCTAGAAAGAACAAGACACCTGCTCGGGCGTTCACACTGACCTTCACGGTTGGTAAAATACCATCGCAATATTCTAAAAAATAATTTGAAGTATATAAATGTTCCTCACTTCTTGACGGCCGTCACTTCATGATCACAAACATTCAGAGTATGGCACATCCATCTCATGTTTATCAAATTTGTGCACAGATGGTTAAAATTGACTTTTGACTAAATTGTCTTTTTATCTGTTGCATAGATTCAGCGCGATGTTTGTACAAGACACACTATGTTTCCTTGGATGACTGAGTGTGAATGCTTTCATTATCTGACATCACTTCACCAGTATCTGCTATCAACGAATAATTGACATCAGGTAGTTCCACCAAGTTTCTAAATGAGTCGCGTATGTGCAGAACACGTTGTTGCAGGATCTTTTGCTCTGCTCTTAACAACGCTAAAGAGCCCACTTCATACCGATTAAGTGCATCATTTGAAGAGATCATGTTGATACTATTGGAAACGTTGGACTCATCATTACGACAGTAATAAAACATTTGTTTTATGTCACCGCTGAAAATTGCCTTCTCTTCTTTACTTCGTTTGAACAGACTCAACATCTCGATTGCATGTCGCTTGACTGACAACGGAATAGCAGTAACTTCGGTGTCCACATCCTCCAAATTGAAGGTCTCTTGTCGTTTTATGCGGTCGAGATTCAGCTCTTGGAAGTTTCTTCCTTCAACTGATCACACGAAGAATTGTATTCCATTAGTAGTTGTTTCATGTTCTTTTCAGTCTTCTTTATTTGGTTTTGCAATTTCTTGGACAATGCATTACCCTCTGTAAATAACAATAAACAATAGAAATTACTGTTTATTCCACTTTTCTCTCAAATGGTCTTGTCCCATTCTATCTATTATATATCTGGCTTAAAGCGGCCGTTCGCGGTGTTTAACCTACACTCACTGGTATTTGGAGCTAGTACATTGTCATATACATACAACTAAAAACATGAGATTTTACCATATGTCATATTAAAATAATCACAAGCATAATATCAATGAAATAAAAACTAGCCACCATATGATCTGTATTATAGTAGACCTGTAACCAAAATCAATTTATCCTGGCTATAGTTTTCAGATGTAGGTGGCATAAATATATACCTTTCACCATGTTTTAAGTTCAAAAACTGTTTGGGAAAACCATGTCTACATGCCCGACCAAACACAGCAGTCTCGTCTAAAGTCTTAAATTGAGTCTTTGATCTTAATATGTCTCCAGCCTTGAAATCATTACAGTCCTAAAAATAACAAATACCTTACTTTTAGATATTGATCAGGGAACATGATTTTATCGCAAAACATATTAGGTATAAAAGCAATTGCCACAGTCCTCCAGCTCAAAAGTACCCCCATATGTATATACCGTCTCTCCCTTTTACACTATAATTAACCCCGATGGGAAAATTGTAGGAGGCCGCTGGATAATTTTGTTTCACAGCTAGTCCCCTCCCCCCCCATGATGACATTTTGGCCTGCCCTTCGGTATATGGCCCTATATAGGGTAATTAAATTCATATAATTGAAGAAATGCTTTATTTGCTATATTGAATTAATATTGAGAATCATAATAACATTTTCACTGCAGTACAGTATATGAAGAAACAAATACTACACAACCAACCTTTGGTAATTTAGGTTGCGTAGGATATGTCTCAACAAAACTGTCCACTTCTTTCTGGTTACAAAATACTGTGTTCCTATGCAATGGTTCTCGAGCACTCGACCCAGCAGCTTTCTTTCGCGGAAGGCCAAAACAGGCATCAAACGACTCTATAAGAACACCATTCTCCTAAATTTTCAACACGCATGGAGTTAAACACATTTGGATTATAGTATAATTTCTGGTTAAAGATTACTGTTTAAAAATTGCTGTTTACTATTTTTACATTTTTATATTCAATCGAAAATTGTTTATCATAATCAGAGTATTAGCCAAGTTTTAGTCAGAAGACGGCCAGCAAAAACCCAGGTGGGGCCAACAAATTTGCCACACCACAACATTTAAATCTCCCCCCGTCGACAACTTTTTTGGTAAAAAAAATTTCCGGACAATAACATTTATTCCGTATAAAATCCAATCCTTCACCAGTCACCACAAAGATTCCGACAACATTGAGCCCGCGTTAAAAATTCACTGGTAAAAACCCCAGATTGGTTTAAAACTTCATCTAATCTAACCCTTATTTAAAACATATTGAAATAATTAGTTTCACACCGATGCACATCAAGGCATATATTCTACAGAATGTTTGCATTATTGACAGCATGAAACTATATAATCATGGATTCCCCTTTTTTTTTTAATACAATACATTTTACCAGGGGGGATTTTGCCAGGGGGATGGCCTCCCCCCGGCCCTAGCCCTGGCTACGCCTCTGATCTTAATGGTTAATTGGTTATAACTATGTTTGAATTGATATTTTGTAAACCGTTCAGTGGTTAACGGTTTGTCAAATTTGACTCTGTTCTCTATTTATAGAACTCGACTACTGTAAATTAATCAACTTACCACAGGACAAGCAGGGCAGACATTTCCACAGTCTCTCTCTGGACAGAGTACATCAAGAGTTCGTAACTGATGTTTCATAAACCTGCATGTAAATCAAATAGTGAAATTACATTGTCAGTATAAACATTTCCCCATGCTTTTAACTCTTAATTAAAGGGGTTGGAATATGAATATTCAGATTAGAAATAATATACTATATATATTACAACATGAGCGGTCGTATTCCGTCGGATATACAAAGTTTATTCAATTATCCTTAGGATGTTTTCAGGCATTATATATATATATGATTAGGTGATAGTTGTCTTTTTTCTATTAAAAATACACAGTATATATGGTTAAATATATAGCTATACAAATCAAGTGCGGTTAATAATGCTAATTTTTAAACTCTCCTTCATGCAGTATGACAATAATCCTGTTCGGTTTTTTTATATGCATGCCTACAGGCCCTACATAGTCTGCATTTATATAGAAACATTCAGAATTCACTCAAACAACTGCGTCAATCAATTGTGAAGTCATTCAGTTTGCTTTTCATACACACTTTAAGCCCTAAAACGTGCAAATTTGTGCATTGTAACTTATGTTAAGACAGATAATAAGCACTTAGGCTATACAACTAGCAGTGTACTAGGATTATTTGCCCAATCAAAAGCCCTAAAAAAAGTTACCCATCACTCTTTGCGCACTTAGAGTTTAAGATTTGAGATTTGCAAAGGACAACCTTTTTGGAATTAGCTGTATATGCAGGGATGCGTGTCTTTTGTTAATTAATTGACATGCATGCACTTAATTTAATGTACTTTTAATAAAAAAATAACTATGGCAATAACTTACAATGACATATCTTGGAATTTTGAAATCTAATGCTTTACAGAAATCATTCACTGAAACTTGGCATTCCAAAAGTAAAGCCTCCATCCAATCCAAAAGATCGAATGTGAATGCAAAAGTTGGATTCTTGGAAGTTGCTGGCCAAAGACGTAATCTTGCCAAGGAAACAGAAACAGCTTCGCATGGGCAAGACATAACAGCAAGTTTGTGTCTTCGACCTACATATGATATTAACAATAACTCCCCTGAAGTGTCTGTTTTGGAACTGAATCTTAAATCAGTTGGTTCTGTGTGTAGCTAGGTAGCGAATCTACTGGTGTCTGTGTATATTATGAGGCAGCTTGATGTTAAAATTAGAACTGAAACTAGTACTTAGTCTTAGTCTTAATAGTAATACGACGTTTTGAGCGAAGGCCTTTTGCGTATGGGTAAATAAAATCGCATATCTATAGTTGTGATTTAATAGTAGGGTAAAGCGAGACTTTTTTTATTCATTGGTTTACGGATTTGACTTTAAAAATAAGAGGTCAGAAAAAATTTTTTAAAAAAACGAACGGAGTATAAATGAGAACCGAAATTAATAATCTTTATAAAATTTTTTAACGTCAATTTAAAAAAAAAAACGAAAAATGCAAGTGTACTTCATGCCAGAACCCCAAATTTAATTAAAATTAACTAAAATTGTAAAATTTTTGACATCCAAATTTTTTTTTATTTTTCACTTTCTGAATATTTACAGTCGGCTGATCCGTAAACCAACGAATAAAGAAAGTCTCGCCTAAGCTACAAATTATTCATACTAACTTCCAGACGATTGGTTTACGCTTACTGGAACTAGCGTCTGAGTTTGTTATATACTTCACGTTTTGGCGGTAATTAAATCGACATTGTCGCATTGGATGGTAAATGCTACTTTTCTTCGCACAGGAGAAGGCGACGCATCCGTGAAGGAAACAACGTCAAAAGTGGGAAGGCTCCTTTTAATGTCCAAAAACCATTACCAGCAGACAATTTAATAAAATACAAGAAAAAACATACTCCGAAGAATAACATCTTGTAAACTCAAGATATGAGCTATAACACAAGACAACAATTTTGCGGTGATATTTCGACTCTATTTCAAAGTCATTGTCAAACCAGAATAAGCTATTTACAAACTTGCTATCATATTATATACAAAGAAACAGGAAGAGATGGCGTATTAGAAACATTACACTATTGACATACAATGATACTAAATTAAGAAAAGACCACGAGTTCTTTAGACGCTCTTAATCCGTTATTAAGCACGGGCTTTCTGTATTTAATATACAGAGCTTCAAGGAATAGGAGAAGGTTGGAATTTGTGTGCTTAAGAGTGTGAAGAGTTTGAGTGTTAGTCTGGATGAGATTGTGAAAAGAGAGCGGTGTGTCTAGTTTGACTGT